CTCTCTCTCTCTCTCGTTCTTCCCCCCCTTTCCCCCCCTGCCGCACCCATTTTTTTTTTCATTTGTTACTTCTCATTTTCATCAGTTTTTTTTTTTTTTTTTGCCTTGGGGGGCGGGGGGGGGAATACCGGTCGTTTGTGGGTGGGTATCCCGCCCGATGCGGCGTGTTAATGGCCGCGTCGGCTTTTTCAAGCTGGGCAAGGTACTGGTGTCGAGTTTCCTCGACATCAGGGGCCTGGACCCACTAGCGAAGCGTTCTACTATGCATGACGCAATTTTATGTTTTTTTGGAAAAGACAAAGTGATTTTTTATTTGCATGAATGGATCTTTTTCTGATTTAAAATGAATTAAAATGGCACATAAAACAAAGAAGAACAGCTGTGCACCCGAATTCATGGGTTGGTAGTAACTTGGTACGATCTCCTTCACGTAAGTCTTCATAGTGATGTACCGTGGCAATCAAATGTGTCCACCAACACAGCCAGGAGGATGAACAAGTAACGGGTATGGGGATACATTCATCACCATGTATCTCATGATGCCACGCGGAGGCGTTCCTGTAAAAATCCACCACAATATTTGAATTTCACATTTCAAGTTCCATTTCTCAGAGCCAAAAAAACAAAGAGGACGTCTGGAAATCAACCCCTCCCCACCCCCCCCTTTTTCGAGTCCATAAAATCCAGACTTCCCGCCCAGGCAGTTTCTCTTCGCCACACAGGCTGTCGAAGTCGGAGACGTGAAGAAAATTCGCAAGTTGTCAGAGAATGCTTCTCGACACCTCCTGTCGAAAGTCGTTGAATCCCCAGCCTGCTACTCCGATGCTTTCGACAGTAAACGGCTGCGCCGTCGACGTCTCTTCGCAATTTGGTGAGTGGGGGAAAGGTCGGGGTGGACTAATGCTTGTCGTACCCTCAGGCGCTTTCGTTTTTTTCCGTCTTCCATCTTGCATTCACAAGTGCGTCTACTCTACAGTGCTGTGTGGCTGAAGGGGGGCAAAGTGTGGAACGGAGGCTGTCGTTTTTGTTCTGACAGCTGTCGAATTTTTTTGCCTTTTGACAGTGGTGCGGCGAGGCCCCAAATTTGTTTTTCTTTGTTTTTCGACGCATCTCATTGGACGTAGGCGGGCAGCTTCACAGTCCCGGCTTGGAAACTACCAGGCCGTCCAGATCTGATCCTATTTATTGGATGGCCGTACTGCATCACTCGAGGCCACAGCGGAGTGGTAGAATACTTCGCTAATGGGTCCAGGCCCCAGTGCGTTTTTTTTTTTTTTTTTTTTTTTTAAAGGCTAATTTTTTTAAGCCCAACCAATTCAATTACCTGTCAAATCTGGACAGGACGGCCTTTCAGGCCTTTTTTATTGTCATTATAGTATTACGGGGAACTCCATAGCAGCCACATTCGTGCTCAAGCCTCCAACAAGGGGACATGCGGGAGGTGCACCCACCTACAGCAGGTGGGCGATACCGGCCAGGGGTCAGCCTGATGGTAGCATCAGGACAGAGCTTCTTCTATAGGCCAGTCACTGTGCCTCCCCTCCGGTCCCCTACCTCTATGAACATCAGCAGTCTCTGCTCAATGCCACTCGGGGGGACCAACGGCATATCTCTAGGTGGCGGGCGCCAAGCTTGCCCGCCAAGGTACACGAGGCCAATGTGGATTGAACCCAAGACCTCCTGAATGCCACTTGCATGCCTTACCAACTGAGATAGGCCGCTGGTTATTTTTTTTTAGGCCCCAATCCAGTTGAAGAAATTCCACGCGATTTTATGATTTTTATCACATCTGCTCTCAAACACGTCCAGCTTCTGGCGTTGCGGAAACTCCACGTTTCTTGTGGGACTGGAACCCCCGTAGATAACAATACTGGGACCACTACGGAGCTTAGGTGCAGGGAAAGAGGACATAAACTACCGGCTTCCCCCGAGCATAACGCACCCTGAAAAATTGTGAAAATGAACGTATACGAGATATGTTTCCGGCCCGATACAGTAAAAATGTGGGTGCGTTGTGTTCGGGGGAATACGGGGTAGGTACAGTAACGAAACGTTCCCATATGGACCACGGTCCCATATGGTCCAGTGTCCTGAAGCCTACCGGTAGTCTCTGAGAAAAAGAAACAAGCCGCCGAAGGCCATAAAACCCGCACAAACCAGGCCCAGGAAAAAACAGTTACATGTGCTCTCTGGGTACGGCCCTCGCTCCTATACCTGAGTAGAGACTACCAGAAACTTTTTATGTGTGCGTGCGTGTCACGGTGTCACCTTTGTGCAGGGCCCTACGTCCGCTATCAGCGATTTTGTCCAATATTCATCGATCTGGAAAAAACGTGCATGCCGCTTTCCAGACGCGCCAAGTGCGTAGCGCCGACCGAAGTGTGCGAACGAAGGGCAGAGACGTACTGGGAGACACAGCAGCGAGGAGGGACAGAAAGGAAGGATAGAGAGTGCAAGGACAGAGAGTGAGCACGGTTTGTGTGTTTGTGTGTTTGTGTGTGTGTGTGTGTGTGTGTGTGTGAGAGAGAGAGAGAGAGAGAGAGAGAGGCGGATATGGCGGGGAAGGCAAAAGATAAGAATCTGGAGGAGACGCCGACCTTTAGGGTGGCGTTTGTGGTCTTCGTGTTCGTGGCTGTTTCTCTCGCATTCGAGAAAGGGCTGCACCATTTGGGGGACTGGCTGAAGAAGAAGAACAAGACGGGTCTGTCCCGTGCCATCTCCGTGGTTAAGGAAGAGCTGATGCTTCTGGGATTCATCTCGTTGCTGCTAAGTATTTTCCAGGACGATATAAGCGGCTGGTGTGTGGACGAGTGGACTAGCTACGATTGGTTGCCGTGCACTGAGGATGCTCTGAAGGAGAAGCGGAAGAAGCAGCAGCAGACGCTTGGGAAGTCGGACTACAATTCTTCCGATTCCAAGGCCTCGTCGGGGTCCTATGCGTCGAGCAGCGGCACATGCTCCCTCGGCAAGGAGCCTTTCATGACCTACGCCGCCATGCACTACGTCCACTACTTCATCTTTATCCTAGCTATGGTGGTGATCTGCTACTCCTCTCTAGTCTTCCTCCTCGCGCTGATGCAGATCCGGGGCTGGCGAAGCTGGGAGATGAAGGCCCGCTCGGCGGATTACCTCAAGGGGCTGGAAGCGTGCACCACGAAGGAAGAGAAGCTGCGCTACGCCGGCCTGCGCGAGCGCAAGGCCGTCATGCACGCCGTCGACACCAAGCCCTTCTGCCGCACTCCGGGCTTCTGGATCCAGTCCTTCTTCCTTCAGTTCGTCGGGACTTTCAGGGAACAAGACTACCTCGCGCTGCGCATGCTGTTCATCACAAACCATAACTTGCAGTTGGACTTCGACTTCCACTCGTATATGATCGGCTGTATGGAGGATGACTTCGCCAATGCCATCGGGATTACGCCGTGGATGTGGGCGCTGCTGATCTTCCTCCTGATCTTCCAGGTGAAGCGCAACGGCCTGTTTCTCATCTTCGGCATGCTGGGAGTCTTCTTCTGCATCGTCATCGGTACCAAGCTGGTGGCCATTCTGCGCACGCTGTCGGCGGAGAGCTCGCAGGGGACGGGGCACTTCGTGACAGGCGATCCCAAGCCCACCGATGACCTGTTCTGGTTCAACAACCCGCACCTTCTGCTCACCTTCATCCACTTCGTCTTCTTCGCCAACTCGCTGGAGCTGTCGGCGTTCATCTTCTACTCGTGGAAATTCGGCATTCACTCGTGCCTGCAGGACGAAAGGGGGGTCATCATATTTAAGCTGGTGTTCGCCTTCTCTTTGCTGGTGCTGAGTTCCTACGTGACGCTGCCGCTCTACGCCTTGGTATCGCAGATGGGGTCGTCGTACAGGCAGCAGCTGTTGCCCGGCGAAGTGCGGAAAACGGTGAAGGCGTGGGCGGCAGGCGCGAAGCACAGCAAGGCAGGTGCTGCGCACTCGGAAGGAGTGCAGTCGGAAGAAGCAGCTCGGTCAGAGGGTGTTTGATGTGGCTGAGGGGAAAAAAAGGGGAGAGGGAGAGAGAGGGAGCCGCTCTGCGCGTTGATATCGCCGATAGGGATGTCGTACAGGCAGCAGCTGTTGCCCGGAGGAGTGCAGAAAGCGATGAAGGCGCGGGCGGCCGCCGGCCGGCCCCGAAGCACAGCAAGGCAGCGCCTGCTCGCTGGGAAGGAGCTCAGTCCGAAGAAGCAGCTCGGTCAGAGGGTGGTTGAGGTGGGGGAGGAAAAAAAAGGGAGGAAAAAGGGAGAGGGAGAGAGAGGGAGAGCCGCTCTGCGCCTTGATGTCGCCGATAGGAACGTCGTACAGGCAGCAGCAGCTGTTGCCCGGAGGAGTGCAGAAAGCAAGGAAAGGCGTGGGCGGCCGGCGAGAAAGCACAGCAAGCCTGAGCAAGGCAGCTGCTGCTCGCTCGGAAGGAGCTCAGTCCGAAGACACTGCTCGGTCAGGGGGTGTGTAAGGTAAGGTGAGAGAGAGAGAGAGAGAGAGAGAGAGAGAGAGAGAGAGAGAGAG